GCAAAATGAATGAGAAAGATGAAGAGTGTAATATCGCACAGCAGAAAAGGCAATGATCAATTTAATATAGTACGCTACGCCAGATGAGATTACAGTTCGTTAGAATGGTAATTCAGGTTTTGGGGGGTTGGTTTTAAGTTTAAGTGAAACTTCTAGATTTAACTAATACAATTTATCAACTAGGAGTATATCAAAGCAACACTAACCGAGGTTTTTAACTGCACATTTCTATAAGGTTTTTGGGTTTTGTTTAAGACAGCAACAGAAAATTTCAACTGATGTTAAAGTTGTGGTGTGGTTTAAAAAAAAAAAAACACCTAAAAACCTCTTTTACTATTTCTAAAGATTAAAATACATTAGTGAGCTTCATTAAATTAGCAGGAAGGAGGCTATAAAACCAACACTAGCAGTGTTAGAAGAAGAAATTATTTGTCTATGCTTAGCTCCCTGAAGTTCAACCAGGACTTCAATTTCTCACCGTATTTTAGCTAAAACTGGTATCTCTCAGAACCAAACTGTGAAATTTAAGTCCTAAGAGACAAACCTCGCAAGTCATATTTACAGAGTCTTGTAAACTGGTTGGTTGAATGAACAACAAAGTCTACAGCAGGAAGAGGTCTGGATTTAACACAGTCCTGGTGGGTGAACTCATGTGAGTATGAAAAAAAAAGCTACCTTAGTAGTTGTTTTTCCAACTAAATAACCATGACATCTGCTGTAGTTTCTCAGCTATAAGACCTTCCCCAGCTGTTTTAGCTCCAGAAGGCAAAGCTTTAACATAAGGTTATTAGGGTATCAAAACAAGTTTCTATTAGGGCAGACTTGATGAAGAAACCACTTTGTAACTACGACCTGAACTGCAGCCGAGTTTCAATAACGCTAACAACTTCTGACCCCCCTGCTACGTGCCATGTCTCTAATGCCATAATTTCAGACATAGCAACAAAAAATAGCATACATAGTGGTAAACCTACTCGTGTAGTGCTTGACACATACTGTTAACAGCAAAAAGCTAACGCAGTATCCCAGCGAAAGTTGGGGGAACTAGCTGCGTAAGAAAAGATGGCATTAGATCAGAAGAGAATTCTTTACGTACTTCTCATCTCCCATCCAACAAAAACCAGACACGTCAATTGCCTACGCTATGCCTTACCCCCACGGTTGCATAAAATTGTAATTTCCACTGAGATACTCTAAAAGAAATAAATAATATTAGATGCTCGCATTATGTGCTATTAAAATAACGTGGATATTTAAGGGTAGTGCAGCATTTTAACTTGTACGTACTGCACATGCCATGGTGCACAAAATATAATTTCCTGCACTTAAATCTACAGAGAGAAGGGCAAACTTTTTTAAAATTATTTTTACATTAAAAAGCCACTTGAACGGATGGTTATTTATGTTTATGTTAAGGGAAAGAAACCTTTTCAAATCGTAAAATTAAATTTGTTTTAGCATTACTTTAGAAAGTCACCAAATACATACTTCATTCTGTAATCCATTTGCCAAACAAATACAAAGCTACATTAAAAAAAACACCTCTTTCCACCATTTCCTGTTACCTGTGGAGTCTTTGTTTTCAATCTTTTCCTGAAAAGATCACGAATACTGATTTATCTCTGTAAATTATGTAGCTTGGTCATAAACACAAACTTCAAAGTTTACTCCTAGTTCATTCTACTTGCAGTACTATTATTCAAAAAAGATCTTGGAATATACATCACAGTTAAGAAAAAGGGTAATTTTCAACTTGACACAAAAGAACAAACTGACTGGAAAATACAAGCACTTAAAAAAACCACACTGTAAAGACTCAATTTGGAAATAATTTTGTGGGATTCCCTTTTGCAGGTCTATCTCAATGAAAGCTGTATTCGTTGTCAGCCTTGATAAACCTCCAATGAGTACCGTATCATACTAACGCAACAGGTGATCCTCAAGTCTTTGCTCAGAGAATTCTCAACTTGAGAGCAAATTTTAAGCAACGGGGTTCAATGGCATTTCCATCCTCAGTTCCAGCTCTCCCCCTGATTTACCCAGGGGACAGATCTGACACAAAATCCTCGCCAACTTGGAACATAAACACTCTCTGACTGCCCCTCGGACTAATAGTGAGGACAGCCAAGAAAGACCAGAAGCATTTGGCTGGTTCAACTGACTTCCACGGAAGTACTTAAAATTTTTAATTTAGGCTTGTGTTTAGGACGTTGTTTAATAAGGCTTTAGGTGTTTGGGGTTTTTTAACAGATGTTCATTCAATTTGGAAAATAACTGTTGGATTCGATTCTCAGGATATTCAGTTCACAGAATAAATCACTAGGAACTGTTACTTCACAGAACATTACTTAATGTGGTCTGTTAATACTTCAGCTACTACAGTGCAAGTAACAAATAATAAAAAACCTAAATCTACAGTAAAAAAAATTTAGAAACATACGAAAGCCATGATTTCCCAAAGTCTATTTTTATCCTAGTACGTTAAAGCTGTCTAAAACTAGACAGATTCATTTTTCAAAAATATACCCATGATTCATTTTTCAAAAATATATCCATGTATTTCTGAGGGAGGAGGAAAAAATCGTATCTTGTCTTCTTCCATAAGATGCAGTTTTGCACTTTTTTCCAAAATTATCTTTTTTGACTGACTTGACTTTTAACCCTTTCACCACGGTCAGAATTTGTATTTAACCCTCAGACTGCTCTGTTGCGCAGTAAGAATCGGTTCAAGCGTTGCTCATAAAGCAGCTCTGTCAGACCGGCCACCGTGCTCGGTGCCCTACTCTGCATCGTGTCAGCGCCACCAACCTTCTACCCCCTGAGGATGGGGGTATCTCACAAAAGACAGCAGGTGTGGCTGAACGAACCCCTGAAACAGCAGTGGGATCGGCGACGATCAAGCACAGAACGTGCCACTGACATTAAGAATTATAATAGGCGTATCTGCAAAGACTGCATAGCCTTTGCCTTATGGTGACTTACCTATCTCCCTCACGCTCTCTTTCTCTATGTATACATTTGTCCTGATAAAGAAATTTCAGCCCAGCTCTCTGGAGAAATGTAGATACACACTCTGCTTTTCTTACAGCTTTCAAAGCTTCTGGCAGATTTAATAGCAGCAGCACAGCTAGAGCTTTTCTCAATGTGCCACTGAAAAAAGAGCATTTGTAAGGCTGAAACCTGGAAAACCCATGACATATTGGCCAATTCCGTGTATTTTCAAGCAAATAAAAGAAAGAATTAAAAAAAATACACTACAATTATTATTACGTCCTTTTATTTTCTCAAATCTAGACTAGTTTCAATTTTTGATGGTATATGGATCAACATTGTACAATATACCTCAAAAAGTAATTACGTATTTGGAGTAAGAAAACCTACTGTACTATCAGTGGCCCTATTTTTGCCAAGAATATGAATTCACTGGTATTACGACAGTTTAGGAAAGGGTCAATTAGGAAGTTTTATCTTATTTTTGGTTTAGTTCTAGCTTTGCAGTTGAGCATAATCACTGGAAAAGTTCTACTTTTTGAAGACTGAAACAATAAAATTGCTATTCAATAAAGATGACTGCAAGGCAAGGAGACCAACAGTTGGCATGGATTACTTTGAACAATCAACGTGACTGAAGCAAATGAGGTATATTAATGCAGTGCATCAAGGAGTATTGCCATCCAAAGTTCTACTCAGGGAAAAAACACACCCACAAAAATCCAAAATGCGTTTTGCATACTTTCCAAATGTCCCACATTTTTCAGCAATGGTAGAAAGCAATATGTTTTATGTTAAAAAAATTTTCTAGTCAGTTTGATCCTCTCCGATATTTGTAATGCAACATGGGTAAAAATCTGCTAAATGAGCGAGAGGAATGCAGACTCATTTTTTTAAGCATAATAACGTATCGTATTAAACAATGAAGATTAAAACTAGAACATATGCTTTTGGGATAGTTGGATGGATTAGGAAACATACACCATTTCTTGTCACAGACATTCACAAAACAACCACACACATACACCGGACATATAAACTTACTTGTAGACATTATATGTCCACTGAAAAATGACTTAAAACGTGACATTCATGTTTCAAAGCTATCAAAAACCAGCTTTGATAGATTAATAGAAAACATAGTGAAAGGTTTAAAAAAAAACCCCAAAACAACTATATAGAATTAAAAAAAAAAAAAGTAAAAAAAAAATCAAATAAGCAGCCTAAACCACAAAATGAGAAAAGCAGCTACTCCTGGAAAACAGATTGTGTAAAGTGGTATTCACATATCACAATCTTTCAATAGCCATAAAGTTCAGTGGTCCCATACAACAGTTTTGCACTTTCTGGTAAAGCCTGAAGACGGCCAACAGAAAGTGTTTGAAACATCTATGTTACGAGTGCTGCTGCTATGAAGTCCAGGATCAGACTGGTATATCTGAGTTATCCACCACTGGGAACAGAAACCCGGACTTCATTCTTTCAACTACATTTGGTACAATCTGACAGCGTTTTCCCTATGTCTAGTTAATCACTTATGGGCCTTGTGAAAAATACGATCCCATGATTCGACAAACTAAAAAAAAGAAGAAAAACTTTTTACAAAATATTCAATGAGCCAGATTACAGGTGTATTTTGTATAGAGTTCTTTTTATTTTCATGCAAAAAAATATATGCACACTTAATAACACCCTTTTATTTTGATTTATTTACAAGTTTTAAATTCAATCCCTTTATTCTCAACTGATTTTATAACAATTACTGAATATTTTTCAAGTACATTATTGTTCAAAATGCACAGACAATGTGCAGCAGCAAATGCAGCAAACCTCAAAAACAAGGTGCTACAACATTGCTTCTACATCAAGAGGCAGACAAGTGTCTGGGATAGTGGTTTAATTTCAACACTTATACAGACATACATCTATACCTAGAGAGAGACAGACAGATCTAAGAAAGCAGCTACATCTGCAGAGGAAGGAAACAGCATGTTACAAGGACAATTCAGGGAGGTCAATTATACATAGAACATTTGACAAACAACATAGAGAACAAACTTTGGCATTAATTACCAGGGTACAAAACGCAGCACATTTCACTCTATCAATGGAATGTAATATGGAACTCTGCAGCCTGTAGCTGTTTGTCAATATCAACAAGTATTTGACATTGTCAATGAAGATACTAACACATCTATTAAAAAAAACATTTTAATGGGAAGCAGACAAGTAAGGATGCAAAATTACATTGCCATTTTTTGTATCTGTAACGATCAAATGCCTCAATACCAGATCTATAAGGTCACCCCACTTCAGGCATCTGCGCCACCTGGAAAACTGTAAACTAAGGAAGCTCGAAGTCTGAAATACGTGGCCTGACACCGCTGAACACGTTTGCTTTTAGTTTTATACCCTGGTTAAGTATCCATTTCACATTGCCTGATTAACACATAACACTCTGCTTGTATCAGCCGCTAAGACAAGAACTGAAAAGCATAAGAAATTCCCTGCATGCATTATGTGTGGTGTTAGCAAAAGAGTGAGATGTGCCCCAGTCCATCTGAGGCACAGCAAGTTGCATAACATCATTACCACTTTGCAGGGTCTGTCGTCCTCCGGCCAACACTCCACTAGGTAACATTCCAGTGGGAGTCAAACCCTTGAGTGTCAGCACACTTTCACTCTCCTCCCTGATGTGAGAGAAAACAACAAACCCTTAAATACCCGCTCACGGTAACCGGTCCTAAGGTAAAAGAAGGGATGGGGAGAGGGAAAGCCTATTTGTGCCATGCCTTATGCACGTCAGGACTGAGCGTAAATTCAAATTCAAACAACTAGAAAGGGGAAAATATTTATATTCCACACCAGTCTTGGCTTAGGAGTTATAAACACTGATTACTTCTGAACCAAATCCTGAGTAATTATTCACATGCAGGCTCATTAGCTTTGAAATTAGCACTGAATGTCTCATGAGGTACTGAACATGTCTTCGTGCCATAAAACAATCCACAGTTTTGTTCAGAGTGCTTCAGGAAACACCAACTTAAAAAATTATCCCTATTTGAAGAATTATGGTCTATGCAAGACTATACATTTTTGGTAAATGTGATAATGAAACCTCTAGATCTAGACAGGTACAAGAAAATGGTACTTTTATAAAGCTGATATCAAACAAGAGCCCAAACAAAAAAAACCCCTAATCCTCAACTTTTGGGTATGACAGAAATTTCCCAAGCCAGTCCTGACCTCTTCCATTACACCCATGATTTCAAAATCTCTACTTTTCTCTAACACTTACAGTTAGCAGCTTAACAAATAACTTGTAAACTGAAGATCATGATCTCTGATTCCCTGAAATAGGTCTCAAAAATAACTTTAAAATATTCTTTAACCAAAAATGCCAACATCAGTGGGGTGCATCAATGCGTCAAACAAGATTCTGATGCATAATGATCTCCCTGAAAAATGCTTGGCATCCATTATCCTGGAAGAGAGAGCTGTTTTCCTAATACACAGAGTGAGAAGGGCTGTAGGAATGCAGAAGTCATGCAAGTACCTGAGAACAGAGAAGACTCTTGCCATCTTGCCAATCGCACGAATTTTGTTTCTGATTATTTCTTTCCGTGCGGCAGCTGTACCTACTTTCAATGGAATAAGAGAGAGTCTCAAGCTCATGAGTATTTACAGGGACACCGTTTCAAAGCGCGTCGAATTCAACCCAAGTGTTTAAGTTCAGGACTCTTCACAGGAGGCCAGTAGCCAAATGCTTAAGGGCACCAAGTTATAAATTCATGGCTTCAGAATGCCATCAAACCCATCGCCACCTCTGCGCCCACAAAACACACACAAAAAGGTTTAGGATGTCCACAGCAACTGGTGAGAGCTAGCAAGCTGCTAAATTACCACCACTACAGTGTAGGAACTATCGGAACTCACTTGCCTAAATGCACACTTGATATTCTTCACTGACACCTGTGTATATCGAGTTGTAGGCACGCAGCCCAGTAATGAAGCTGAAGAGATATTAAAGCCACAAAAAATAAAGATTTGTTGCTAAATCTTACACAGCTGTCCTAGAGAAAACAGCAGTTTGCTTGTTTTTGTCAATTCCCCAAAATACACCCACAAAAAAAACAGTAAATAAAACGCCGAAGAACTGCATGTTACCTCCCTTCCCATTTAATTCTACGTTCTGCATCATCCTAGGTTTGCATCATTTGCAGAAATTACAGATACCAAAGATCTGGAGTAAATTCTGCGTGTTCCACAGAGCAGAGAGTACCGCTTGTGACAGATCTGAGCGAAGACAAAACTCTGAGGGGAGGCTTGTGGTTGGGAAGGAGATCCACTTTTGCCTGCCTTGGCATTACAAAACCAGCAGCTCCTTTCTCCAACACTGCTGCTGGTTTGTTTTAACGCATGAAAGTCATCCTTCCCCTCATCTTCCTTTCCTTGTGCTGACTCCTCGATTCCACTAAAGCAGTAAAGGCAGAGGAATCAAAACTAAAACCCTTCGTTCTCCTCAGCCGTGGTGGAAGGCGAGCATTGATCACACCGCAGGAGGCTAATGCAGTCAGACTCTGCATTCAACCACAGGGGACCAGAAGTGAACAAGCCCAGACAGCTCTGTCACGTATTCCAGAGTAACGCTGTTCTTCAACCCTGGGAGAAATGCCCTCATTAAAAAGCTGCCCAACTAATTTGCAAGAGCGCAGAAGAGAATCACAGAAGCCGCAGAGCCACAGATTTGTTTACTCGCATTCAAAGGCAGCTGTGGAAGAAGCCTTTTTCCATCGCTGCTCACTAGTACTTGGTGTCCACAAGAGAGCACACACGCTCCAGCGCAACAGTCACCCCTTCCAGGCCAGAGCTGCGGGAATGCAAGGCCTTCGGCCGCTCCGCGTGGGCAGACTCCCACCCGGAACACCAAACCCAATCAAATGCGAAAGAGAAGGCACACGGGGGCAAACAACAGCAACAAAAACACAAGGAGGAAAATGTATAGTAGCGACAAAGAAAAAGGGGAGCAAGAGACAACCTTCCTACAAACACAAAGAAAGTATCTCGGGGCATGAGAAATATCTGTCAATCCATTTAAATTAAATTTAAAAAACAGCAATTACAGAGTAAAGATTTTTCAGATAAAGGAACAACTTTAATGAACTGCAGACACCAAACTGAAAAATCACCAAAACCAAAAAACCAGAAAGCTCAGGATAGGCTGAAACACCCAATTTTTATCTTTTAATGTTTGAAGTTTTATAATTTTTTACCTTTTCTCTTTCAACACTATTAAATAACAGCTTGAGGACCTGGAATGAGAAGACGACTCTTCCAGAGCTTTTGAAAAGGTTAGGGCTAAACAAGGGACCATCGATCTTTCC